CAGCGGACAAGCACTTGACTCCTGACTCTTCTAAAGTGCTTGCTACCTCAGTAGAGGCCCTTTTTTGGGAGCTAAGTAATGAGGGCCATCCCATCAATTAAGGTGGGCCTCACGCATGCTGATGGGTGCACTTCCTATTTCCTGTGGACTGCGTTTCAACAACACTAATAATGCACCTGCTGTTTCTTAAGTGCATGTCTGTGCTTGAAAGGTGCTTGTTGGAGCAGGTCTGCTGGGAGCTGGAGGGAAAGGTGTGGCAGGGCAAGGGCTTTATGAAGGGCCCCACAGGCACGCCTCCCCATCACTGATGGCAGGTACCTTAACGTCCAACTAGACAAACGCTTGTGAGCCCAAGGGGGAAGGTTCACTCACTGCTATTTCAAGTGGGACAGCAGGGGAGGAAGGCAAGAGAGCTTCTGGGGGCCAGGGGGAGGAGGAGGGGACACGTTGACCAGCCATCCAGCCCAGCCCCGACCTAGAGGTGAGGTTTGCAGGCCCCAGAAAGTTCCTGGCCTGGCACTGCTGCAGAGGTGCCCCTCATTCCAGCCCAGCGGTGACTGTCTCCTCCACCCCAGCTCCATCAGCGGCCAGGTCCCTCTGGGAAGCTAGCCCTGTGACTCTGTCAAGGTCCCCTCCCCCACCCCACCCCACCCCGGCCCCTGTGAGGGGTGAGCTCCACACTGAATGTTCAGAAGCAGCCACAGGCTCCGGGTGCTGATCCCTAACGGGAGTCTTAGTGCCTCAGGTGACCTCTGGACCTCACAAGTTCTGTGCACACACGGGGCCACATAGGGGAGCGAGGCACATGGGCACCCAGCTGCAGTAACTCGGCAGGTAGTGGATGCCCAGCAGTTGTTTTCAGCAGCTGTCAAGTTTGCCCTGATGCCCAGTGGCTGTTGTGATCCGTAGGGTTTGCGTTTGGGGTTTTAATTTTAAAAATTACTTCACTCCCCACAGAAGAATTTACTTCAGAGGACAGCATTGAAGCTGCAGCTCAGGGAGAGGCACATGGCTGATCAGAGCACATGGGAGCAAATGAAAGGGGAGGAAGAGAGAGTGGAGCACATCCTGGCCCACCAAGCCTTGAGGATGATATCCCCGCTCAGAGCAGCCAGTCCCACCATGAGACACCACATTCTTCACTGACCCCTAGCCCTACAGGGGACAATACTGGAGACACAGTGTGGGAATTCCACCTGATCTGACCCCACCACACCAAGGCAAAACACTAAGGGCATGCAACAGAACAGCAAGGGGAGCAGAACAAGGAAGTTTCTGCCTTGCATCTCTCTAGACCAGGGGTCCTCAAACTACAGCCCGTGGGCCACATGTGGCCCGCCGAGGAAATTTATCCAGCCCGCTGGGTGTTTTTGCTGCTGCTGCCTGTCCTGCGTAGCAGCCAACTCGTCCAGTGTGCACAGGAATTTGTTCATAGTTTTTTTTTTAAACTATAGTCCGGCCCTCCAACGGTCTGAGGGACAGTGAACTGGCCCCCTGTTTAAAAAGTTTGAGGACCCCTGCTGTAGACGGTTGGCTGGGAAGACAGCCCTGTGACCCTTCCAAGGTCTCCCTCCCCCCTCTACCCCCCAGCCTCTTTTAATCAGAATTTTTCTATAGAATCTTTGATCCATGTGATCGGTAATGGTAGCCAAGCCCCATCCAGTTCTTCTAGTCTCCTAGCAAAGGGGG